AAAGACACAAAATGAGTAAAGTTATTCTTGATACATATTGAAGTATGCAAAATGAGATCAATTATATGCAGACTTTATGTAGATATGAGAAATGACATAATAATTAAAGAGAGGTGATAGACAACGTGAATCCCATGAATCCTTTCAACACATCCAACTGTTCTTTGCGGCAATACTAATAACAGCCTGCTCTAAAAAAATGTATATATGTATTATATATATATTTCTAAAAATATAATTTGAGAAAAGAGTTGAGTTTGATTGAACTTTATTCACGGGCTCTATATAGGAGCAATATATAAGATACTAATTACAGCAAATGCCCTGGACAATTGAAGCAGAAAGCAAGGGAAAATTCTACACGACTGTATAATACGACGGTGCACCGTGCACATAACATATATCTATACACACACATATATTTGTAGGTATAACTTCATAAACTTGTATGTACCTTTTTTTTTTTATATCTAATACAGCCTACAGGAGTAAACAATGTGACAAAGAACTAGGAGAATCTAAAAGAATATGAAATTAAAACTTGTTTTGTCCATATAGGTTTAAATTATGCAAGTTTAAGAATTAAGAGAAACTAAAATAATTGAAATCATTTGTTTTGTCCTTTATAGGTAAATTATATTTCCATATTTATTAATGCAGAATGTCTTGATTCTACGTGTCGACGTGGTGCTTCGAAGTCCTATATGTCGAATTTTGGTGTTTCGGAGTACTCCATATAGATCTAGACTTCTTTACATGACAATTAGGATTTTTAAATTTATAAAACACTTGACTAACTTAAATTACCAATATTATATTTTAAAAGTCATACTTTTGCATTTATTGTCAGTTTTCAATATTAATATATCAAATTAATAATCTCCTAATGAGTTTCGATTTGATATCCATATTGCATAAAAAAAATAATTGTATTTATCTTTATACGAAAATTAAGTTATATACTAACATTAATTAAATAATAATACTATTCTTTATCAGTAAAATAAATTTTTCTAATAAATTTATATTTATTATATAATATAAGTTGTCAATTATTTAAATATATAAGACGAGTAAGTCGTACAAGTAACATTTATTGTATTAAATAAAAATAACAATCTGTTTTTTTTCTTTTAAATAATATTAAATTTAAACAAAGACCTCTTTATAAATTTAAGTTTAAATTTGTTTGAATAGCAACCAAGTAATATACGGTTTTGTACTAGTTAAAGTTAATACACAAAGATTTAACATAAAATAGCTGGGAGTGCTGGAATGAGAACTTGAAAATGAAACTAATGATATTCTTGCATTAGTCTTTATCCCACAGAGAGTAAATTTAGTAGAGAAAAGTATCGATTATAAAAATGGATGAGAACGTTGAGATTTATATTAATTCAACCTATATAATTTTTTCACGCTCGTAATTCAAGTTAAGCTCATATCGCTTAAGTGAGTGGTCGTCTAACTTATTACTCGAAGGTTTCATGATTTCATAAGTAGTACAAAACTTGTATTTGATTCCGAATATATAAAAACTTGTATTTGATGGCACACAAGAACATGAATAATAAATAATACGTAAAATCCAAAATGAAAAAATAACAAATATTATTAAATATAAACAAGAAAAACATGATTCCGCATAAATTAATATTGATGTGATAACACAGTTTTCAATATGAATAGAGAGAGAGCTTTGAAGTAAATGAATTAAGAAAAATGCAAAAAAATGGTCCTTACTTTTCAGTATAAAAGTAAACGAACTTTGAAGTAAATGAATTAAAAACAGAAAATGCCAAAATGGTACCATTTACTTTGAAGTATAAATAAATGCTACATACTTTCAATATAATCAAAATTCAGCTTTTTGAAAAGACTTAAAAAACGCCGTCTGTGGGACTCGAACCCACGACCACATGGTTAAAAGCCATGCGCTCTACCGACTGAGCTAAGACGGCTTTTAATAGTAAGAGCAATCAAAGATTATATTACAACAACACAAATTGGCCAAATAACCTTCTCCAAAGTTTTTTTTTTTAATTTTGAAATGAATTTTTTTTTTTTTTTAAGAACAATAGGCTTTTATTAAAAAAACAAAATACATAATTACACCTAGAACTCAACCAGAAGTCGAATATAGTAGGAGGACATCCCATACGGAAGCCTACACTACCACGACGCAACCACGATAATACATACTTCCAATAAGAAAATACAGATTCCAACAGGATAATAAAATATTAAGATGACCTACTCACCTATATGATGTAAAATGTGTACATTGCCCTTGTTTTTTTTTTCCTCACCAAAATTGAGCTCCGGGTT